TTTACAACCCAGAGTATAATAATAATAAATGAATTTATTGACACCAGAAATAACATGTTACAATACAGAGAAAAAATACAAATTTGTCAATAGGATACGAGATTAATAGAGTTCATTGTTCCTCTTGCACCTTACAAACAAAAAAAAAGAAAAAGATGAAAAACAAAAAAAAATAACAAAGGACCTAAAATTGTAATTGGAATTGTGATAGCGGGTAATTGTAATGTATCCGCCTCATGTAATTCATGAGGCGGATATCGATACAAACATAAGGATACTACAAATATTTTAGCTACGGCCTACAAGAGCCAATGTGATTTTTCAGAAGGTGTTTTTTCAGGTAGTACCTGAAACTAGAAACAGATTTCGACCGAAAGGAAGGTGGTAGGTTGTTATAGAATTCAGCTATCGAATATGTAAATGACCTTTTGAATAGTTCTATGAAGTGTCTAACAACATGGATCATTTTGCGCCCGATGTTCACATTATGAACATCAGTTCGATAAGTTATTTTGTTATAGAGGTAGGGAGATGTTCTATTGATAATAACTTTATGAAATAATGTCGAAGAATGAAGAGTCCGCCTATCGTACATTTTCAGCCACCTGGCTTTTTTGAGTGTATGAGAAATCGGTTTCTTTTCTTGATACCGTATGAAAATCTCAAACAAGAGTTTTGAACTCTTTGAATTCGTTCTTGCTCATTTTCATTCAGAAAATAATGATACACTACGTCACAATGATTGAAAATAGATAATATCAACGGATCACAAATGAGTAATTTGGTTTTTAGGCTCAAGACATACCTATGAGGGTATAATATTTTCATTTTCCCAAATGCTCTTTGAATCAATGTTGAAGTATGTTTTTTGAATTTGAGTTCATCATCGATAAAAACTCCTAGATGTTTAACCTGATTTACAACCGGTAAAACAGTGTCATCAATTTTTGTGATCAGATCTCTAAGTTTCGACCTTGCGAGTTTCCTTCCAAATACAATCACAGAGCATTTGGAATTATCAACTTCCAGGGCATATTTCTTCGATACATTAACGAATTAATTCAAATCCTCCATAATGATATTTTCACTTTGCTGTACGGAGTCAGGAGTAAAAGAATAATACAACTGTGTATCATCGGCATACATATGATATTTGAGTTTTTTCAAACAGGTTGTCAAATGGGACACCTAAAGAAGTATTCTTGAAATCTGACATGTGGTTCTCCACTAACAATTTGTTGTCTATGTGAAAGATATGAATCGAAAAATTTCAGAGTGCTTTGACAAAGTCCATTATAATGTAATATAGATCAAAGTAGTTGATGATTCAATGTATCAAAAGCTTTGCTAAAGTCGATCAATAGTAGGACATTGAAGTTTTGGATTAATAAAAAAATATTATAACTATTTGTTCAAAATGGTCTGTAAACAAAACTTAAGTCGACAAACCAAATTCTATGCGGGCGAAGCCGCGGCAACAACTAGTAATATATATTTCAATAGGCACAATTAGTAAAGAACTTTGATGATGTAACAGTCAAGGAAACTGTCTTGAATGTAAAGCTGACGATGGCTTCTAGAAATACGAAACATTCCACATCTCGCCGCCACACCTCAACATACAATGTTGGAATTTCAAAAACTAGTTAGGTAAGCCCTCTCGACGATTGTAATGATAAAATAGGTATGTTGGTGTTGCTTTTTAATTTCTTGTGAAGAGTTTGGGTTTTTAAACATTGTGTTACAGTATGAAGGAGAATGGGAATGCCTCCCGCGAGGCGTCCAGTCTAAATCTAAACCAACTGATCAATATAAATTCAGCTAACTATGGTCACTATAATCACAAAGTATTCAATTTTCTCGTGTACAGTTTTTACATATTGTGAATCTTCTCAGTTATTGGCAAGACTTTTGCATCTATTTGAGTTTTCAATACTTTCTAACATCCAGTAACGATTGGAGTCACTTGAGATTTGCGACATACCTCATTAGTCATAACTTAACTGGCGAACGCGGATGTTGCGGATAGACTCATTCATAGAGTCTTAGAAATAGAGGGTTGATTATGGTTCAGGGTGTGTCCTTGATTGAATATTAGATCCCTACTTTCATGTACAAAGTCTGTGAATATTTATTTTTTACATACGTTATAGGTAAAAATTAAAGATGACTCAATCCATCTGAGAGCACACAAATAATCCAACATTTCCATGCGATTTTTGGAATTTTTGAAGCTGTTTTCTAGATTTCACATTAATTAACATTCATTTTGAAGTTTTTTTTTCTGAAGACTAGGTTCAAAAAGATCTAAACGGAAGGGTTAGACAGCAATTTGTACAGATCCCTGTTCATCGATAAAACCGTAGAAGTTTCGAGTCGTCCTCTGGTAGATTTTTCTTACATTCTTAATTTAAATTTGAAACTCAAAGCAGGTGGCCAAGTTTCGCAGGTAGGCATGGTATAGATGAGAATCGGTCGAAGAATATGAAAATGCAGCTGCTGTACCATTAAGAATTTTGATTCGTCCGAGAAAGAGAACGGATATTCCCAAGAATATGTACATATCCTTGTCACATTTCCTATGTCCATGAGTCCGTGATTCTTAAATGGAATTCACAAAAGAATACTTCCTTAAAAGATGTTCTGCTGGTCTGTTGAGAATGTTAATTACATTATTAAAAAAGGAAGTAACTATAATAAAACAATAGGAAGTTTACAAAATTGAAAGGTGTTGTATGAATACAAATGCACAAGTTACTAGAGCTTTCTCTTCCCTACCAATGAAAATCTTCCTCTGGATCTCTCCTGAAAAAAATCCACAAATTTCCTGACTTTCCTCTTCCTAAATATTGACAGATTCGCGAAAATACCGGCGTGGGAGGCATCACATATTTCAGATATTCTGTATCAAATTTCTGTGGAAAACAAACTTACCGAAACAGCAAATAGAAAACTTGTTCACTAGAACCACTATTGACCACAGAAATAGTTGTTAAATCACTGAATGCAACTCTCCACTGAGAAGGATAACACACTCTCACAAAGTCACAAAACTGACTAAACAACAATAATCAACAAACGCAACGCCTTGCCCGAATTCTACCGAAACAGGGGTGACCGGCCGAATCGGTACGATCTGAGCCAGGGTATGAGATGTGTTGATGGTTGCCTTGCCGATTTCTGTTCCTGTGCCTGGAGGAGGAGAAAAATCAATTTTAGCAGGACGATGACTGGATGATGCCACATTCGCAGACTACAACTACAATTTTAGAGGGAGATTCAAACAAGAAAAATTAACATGTGGATTAATGGCGAGTACTGAAAAAGCATTTTAATTTAATCTGAAAAGTTTTCGTTTTTTATAGTGATTTATCCGAAAACCAAACTGATAAGTAATTTTATTATACGGACTTTTTAATTGAAAAACTGTGTAGTGTATTGCAGAGAAAATGCAATGTTTTTCGAAAGAATTGAAACTTTCTTTTCTAATATAGATTAGTAGGCCAAAAGAAAGGATTTCAACAGTTGTCCTACGTATGGTCGGTCAGTATATAGCCGGGCAGTTAGACGTGGGTGCTTTGTTCACTCAGTCAATCGGCCGATGTGTGAGTCGATGGTTCAAGCCCCAGGCTGAATGCTCGATTTTTCACTTGCCATCGTCCAATCCGTGTTAGGAATCACACGTTAAAAGACAGGACCTCGTTAGTCCTTAGCTCGCACAAGTTTTGACTTTTGGGGGTTATCTTTCGTAGGGGTGCGATAGATGATTATAATGGAAAAACATATTTTGAACATAACAACATATGAGAACGACAGATGTCGCCACCCCCCCCCACGAACGACAACCCTCAAAAGTCGAAACTTGTGCGAGCTAAGGACTAACGAGGTCTTAACTTTCAACATCTGGTTCCTAACACAGGTTGGACGATAGGAAGTGAAAACAGATCGTTTGGCCTTGCGGTTCGAACCACCGCGACCGGTTATTCACACAGCGGTTGATTGAGTGAGTGAAGCAATGGAGAAATCTGGGGTTTATAAGCTTGAGTTGAGTTGAACCTCAAAATGATGAGCAGAGGCTTTAAACATATTTGAAAGCTACCGAAATTGCTAAGAAGGAAGACGCGAAAATGTGCTCAACTCCTCACGTTGATTAAAGAAAAAGGTATGAGAACTTTCACTGGAGATGAGGAAGAGACGTTTAGACGCATTATTGAAGAAGTTTGACGAGTATTTCGATCCTAAAGGAAACCTGACGTAAGTACTTATTACAACAGTCTGTCGCGTATTTCTGATATGTACCGCTCTTGGTGGAATCAAATTTGCCAAGTCACTTGAACACCTCCCGTGAAAGTATCTTCAAAAGAGAGACAAATCTCCAAACTTTCTTCGATGTTCCAGAATGTCAAGGTTACAAGTGATGTTGGTGTCTCCAATCAGGCGAATGCATGGCTCTTTTCTGGATGGAATCCAACCGCTTCAGGGTATGCTTATGGACAGAGCTTAATACACAGAACAATACACCAGGGAAGGTCTAATGTGAGCTTCATGAAGTATCAAAAATTGCTGAGGTGTGTACAGTTTACTGGTTCAGAATAGTATTCCAAGCTTTATAGAAGCAGCCTTTGATTAGAACAATGTGACCGAATCGCCAAACGGTATGCCGATCATGAAAGTTCCTTCAGATCAGGTAAAAATGATTCAACGTGTTCAAACCATTCTTCGTAATGCAACCACAAGTTCCCAAATCTAAACGATACGTAAATGTTGCACTATACAAGCAAGGGTGGGTAACTCAATTATTTGGAATCCCTGGAAATGTATAAGCACTGCAGGTGCAACCTGCTAAATGATCAAATCGATCTAGTTTACTCACTGGTTTTCAAATTAGCCAGATTAGCGTACCCACATTGTCACAAGTAAGCAAAATTCAGGTACTCAGTTAAGTTGAGGACCGTTTGTTTGAAGGTAGGAATACAGAACTAGACACTTTCCTGAAGCACATCGACAACGTAAGTCCTTCCATTACTTTCACAATGGAGAAGGAAGTCCACAACGAATTGCCTTTCTTAGACGTATTGGTGAAAAGGACCGACACTAAATGGAAAACATATGTAAATCGAAAACCCACTCACACAGGACAGTATATCTGAAACATAAATCCAACCACCATCAATCGACTAAGATAGAAATCATCAAGAGTCTACTAGACCGTGCTTTCGGGCTCTGTAATACAAAGGAAGGTCTCGAAAAGGAACTAGGCATCATCAAAAATGACCTTTAACGGAATGGTTACTCGAGAGTGATGGTAGAACAGGATTCAGCTAGAAGACAGCAAGAGCTTCACAAGGAAGAGAAGCCGCCACAACCAGTACTTGTACTTCCCTACATCAGAGGATTATCGGAAAGGATAAGAAGGATTCGGTCCAAGTATAACATCAAGACTGCTTCAGATCTGGGAACACTATCCGTAGNATGGAAAATATATATAAGTATAAAATTTATATCAAACATGGTAATTTGAAACTTTTTTATGATTATTTTCAAGTTGAAAACATGTAACAAAACTAACTAGTTCTACCAAACTTAACATCCAAGTTTTTTGATACCTACATATAATTTATTGCATGCTTTATACTTGTACCACAGCAGATCGAACTAATGAAGATTTCAACAACAAAATACTTTCTTCATTCTTTAATGGATAATTTGTCTAAAATAGCAATTTTACTTCATCAACTATAGTATGTTGAATATAGTTGTTTGACATCAATTTGCCAGTTGATGGGTACTCTGAATTTTACTTAAAATTGATAGATACGATTCAATTTGACATCTTTTAAAAGAAATGGCTCTGCAGAAATTTGTTAGAAATGGCTTCAAAATGAAATGATGAAAACTCTGCAGAAGAATATTCTTCAGGATAAGACCAACAACAGAAGTGAAGTGATTTTGAAAGACATGGTAGCCTCTACATAAAGCACAAAAGTAAGCATTAATGCTGTGCTGTTCAAAGTAATCTCAACTGACAGAAATTCTTGTTTCAAAACATTTTCGTAAGTTTTTAGTTAATTCAAACAAAATTTATTGGTACCTTCAAGCAAAATCATCATCTCCTCTGAAAAGTTGTAGCCATGAGCACTGGACGTGGTTTACAGAACAAATAATAATTTGAGCAAATTTATTAAAAACAATAAAGGCACAAGTTCAATGTCAGATAGATCAGGAATATATATGTTGACTTGTGGCTCTTGCCCAAAGCTTTATATTGGCCAGACGGGATGAACTTTTTCTTAAAGAATTAAAGAGCATAGAAATAATTTCTTCAATGGAAAAACCAAATCCACATTTGCATACCAACTTCTAGCATCTTTAGCACAAGTTCAATCATGACTATGATGTGTTACATTCAGAAGAGAAATCTCAATCTTTTAGAATGTTTAGAAATAGAAAGAGTTTGGGTCATTTACTGTATGACCAAATAGAATTAAATAACCCTGTCACTGAATAGTTTTTCAAATGTGGAATCTGTAATTAACTGATACATAAGCTCAGGTAATTTCTTTCATTACACATTTTGTTATGTTAATGTTTGTTAATTTACTCTCAAACTCAGTGCAATGTCAATGTTAACTAGTGTAATTGGTCAATTTTAATCATATTCAAAATTCTCCCTCTTCATATTAGCTGCAAAAGAAGTTGGATCGTCTATAAGATTTTCCCAAATCTGGTAATACTGTTCACTTGTAACATTGTCAGCAGAAATATTCCGTCCTTCCAAAAATGTTCTCCAAACCTGTAAAAAAGTAAACATGCAACATCTTTGTTGTTTTTCTCTGGAAGACATTTTTTGTGGAGGACTCGATACTTCTTACTTTAGTGGTCGACCTTACAGAAACAATGTTTTTCCTTTTCAAAACCTAAAATTTACTTTGAAACTTTCGCTTCAATTTAAAAGCTGTTACAAATTTAAAGCTATTCACAATTTGTGGCGAAACTTTTGAGTGAAAATCAGGTTTTGAAAACAGAAAGTAACTGATTTCGAAATAAACACTTAACAAAAGCAATAAGATAAGAATTTTTTCATTTTTCAGCTCGTATTGATAGTTCAATTTTTTTGGTTGTTGCTTGTATGTTATTTCATTGTAATTTCATTTTTTTGCTTAATAAAATTGTTTTTTCCGGTATTTTTTTTTATTTTTTGAAGATTCTTTCAGGGATTTCAAATCAATTTATATCATATTAGACAATGGAAGTCTGAACTGATGAAATCCATAACGAATGTTTGGAGTACATAGTGAATAGAGAAAAGTGTTTTTTGTATAATTCAGTGTTCATATAAAAGATGTAGTTTCAAAAGTATTTTTTCTTTCGTGTAATTCAATGTTTATATTAAAGTATGTAGTCGTTTTGAGAGGGCTTTTTCTTCTAGTCTGTGTCTGAAAGTTACTTCTTTGTAAAGGGTTTATTATGAAATCAATTCTTATCTTTTTTCTGCGGAAGATTCCTACATTTTTTGTATAAAAATGGAGAAGTAGAAAGCCAAAAATTAGTCTCTCCTGAAAATGAATCCTTTCATTTAAAAAAGAAACTATTGTTTTCATTTCCTGTGGTGTATTCCAGAACTGTATTTTCAATATAGTATGCTTAATTATGAGCCTAAGCAGCATTTCTAGATTATGTTGGAAAATCCGAACTACCTACTAGGTAGTTCGGCTACTTACTGTCCATTTGGGATAGGTTTGTGGTCTATAAGGTTAATCAGATTAAAATATGCTCTCACCTGATCATCAACAATGGTGTGTGGTGAATAAGTATTACCCAAGTTTCCTTCATCAAATATCTGTAAAGTATATAGAAGATAATGGTAGGTGTACATTTTATCACCTTCGATACCCTAGAATTAACAATGTTAATATTCATATTTTATATAAATCCGAAATTACCTGAAAAGATATCAACTTCTTACTACAGCATTTTGATGGAAATACACTGGTTTTGTAATGATTATCACCAGTAAAAAATAATTGATTCAAGTTATGGGGATGAAATGTTGAGAAACCGGCTGAATCTCTTGTATCGACAGGTGTTATGTTCAAACTTGCCAAATGACGACCTGAAACAAAAAGACATCAGTGCATGCAAAAAATATGAACTCCAAAACAAATTTGAACATTAGTTTCGCTATACAACTTCCTCAGGAAGAACCCTTCTGAAGGATGTGAGTGTCATATGAACCACTTCTACAAATTCGGGAGACGTACCAATTTTGTGTTTATCAGGTTAATTTGACATAAATGGAAGATAAAAATTCCAAATATTCAAAACTCATTCTTACGAAAGCTTTATTTATTTGAAGTAGTTTCAAATAACAATATACTTATGGTAATGTAGTAGCTGGAATAAATGTTGCTCCTTGTATATTTTCACAATTTTAAATTTACACTCCTCAATAGGTATTGTGATTCTGTATCTATTTCAATATTCAAATGTATGGTACTTATATGTGAAAAACTTGTGTACCTATATGTAGTAAATGATGTGAAATCAGATTCAAGAATAATAAATACAGGGATTCCACAGGGTCCAATCTTGGAACCACTATTGTCTTTGAAACACAAATCTACCTGTTTCAGAAATGATTATCTTTTTTTTGTGAAATACTGGAAGCCAACAGTTTTTGAATTTGATGAATTCTGTATGTCCTACCTAAGTAAAAATCCTCCCGATTCCAGTACATATCTTCCAAACAATCCGTTTTGGTGAATTTTTCTTTGAAGGCATCAACAGTCCCAGAACTGAGAATGTATCCAGCTTGAGCTGAATTATACACTGTACTCCAGAACACTACAGCATGACCCAAATAGTATGTAGCTGTTGCTTCTAATGGGGCCAAATAAAATCTGAGGTTTTCCATAATAACAAAAATATCATCATTTACAATTAAAACCCAGTCGTATTCCTTTGTAACAGTTTTCAACTTTTGGCAAAGCAGAGCCCAAGAAGATTTTCCTTTCACTCTTTTCTTGGGGCTCAATTTATTTTTACTGGTCTCAACGTCCAAAAATTCAACATTATTACAACCGTTTCCCCAAGTTGACTTCGAAGCTCTCGCATTTTTCTCGTTGCGGACTAATATCACACACAATATTTTAATTTTTGTAAAGAGAAAACTTGCTTCTATAGTAACAGTTAAATTAGGGTTATATCTCAAAACGTCCCAATGAACAGTTTTCCGAGTTAAACCTAGACTTTTAAACCACTGGTTGTAAGATAGCGTTTTAACAATTTTCTGTTCGGAATTCAAACACTTTCTTTCTACGAAAAATAATAATATGCCGAAGCTAAAACCCAACAAAAACAGAACTCTTGAATAAAAATGAACCATAACCTCAGAATACTGATACACTAGTTCGAAATCCACTCTCCACTCTCCAGTCATTAAAACAATAATTAATAGAAATAACGGAGAAAGAAGTTGAAAGTGTTGAAAGTCAATTGAGTCAAAATGCATAGGAACTCCGAGTATTGAATTGAGAATCACATGAATTCAAATATGTTCTACCATATCAAGGAATCTAGGAAGGTGTAGAAAAGCCACAAGTTTTCTTCAAAACAATAATATGAAATTCCGATACCAATCATAATTTGAGAAGAATATCAGAATTTAATACAATTATCATTCAAATTCATAATTTGATACGGGATTTTCTGAAGTTTCCATTTCAAACACTGAATTTTGAATGGAAATTTCAGAATCGCAAAATACAATAAAATACGTTATCACTTTGGTCGGCGCCTTTGTGCCTCAGAGCAATAAAATATATAGAAGGGGCTGTTTTTTTATTTTCACTGGAACCAAAGAATACAAAACCCATTCTTTGCTCGAACATATCCCACGATTGTTCCCTCACCTTGGAACAAGACCATAATAAAATCGGATCTGATCGGCCATTTTCGTGTGTACTCGTTCATTTCATTGAAATGGATTCTTATTTCCGTATGTACATTCTTGGATTGTATCAATAACCAATCCTTCTGATATATTTTTTCAATGTTTTACAAGAATAACATTAAAATGGTGAAGATTTGTTGAGTTTGTGGACTAAATCAATTCCATACATAGGCGTTTCCCTTTTTCATCAACAATGTTTATTCATGTTTGTATTCGCTTTCAAACATTCATTAAGTTTTCTTGGTTCTAATTTATTCGAAAACAGGATATCTTCAAAAAACACATTTTAAAAGTCAATCGGTATGTGTTATAGTATTATGACGAAACTTAAATACAAAATTGCCTTCTTTTTCCTTGTAGGTTTTCTTCTTGAGTAATTACAGTTGATTCATAATGTAAAACAGTTGTTATTCTTGATTTTTATCAATGACTTGCCTGAATTCATATCAGATTATCACATAACTATTCATGCTGACGACACTATAATCACTGTTTTTGAAAAAAACGAGAATGAGTTATCAATGAAAATAAATTTGGTTATTGACGAATTTAGTCGTTGGTGTCAATGTAAAAAACTGATATTAAATTAATTTAAGTCAGTATTGATGAACATAACAGCTTAGGGGTATACGACGGAATTTTCTAGAGTTTTCATCTCTCAGAAACGACTGATAAGATATATAATGAAATGTGTCATTTTTGTGCATAGGAATCTTGACTTGTACATAACAAACTTGAGTATTCACGGTCGAGATCCTTGCCATACTACTGTTCTGAGGCTCCCTTCGCATTAGAGTGACCATTTTAAAATATCTCCATTGTATAGTGCCATCCTATTTTATAACAGACTGCCACTTTCTATAAAGTTGTTGGATTCACTAACAAAGCTGAAAACTTATACTGGGAAAATGTTACTACAGCTATAAGGAATAATAAGAGGGTACTTCATTCACAGGAGAATAATATTTTTAATAGCTATGTTTCACTTACTTTTTCACTTATTGTTTTTTGCTTTAGTTTATTACTATTCAATATGTGTATACGTAAGTTGGCAAATGTGTATATCTTTGTATATGTAAATATAAATTTTAATTTCGATTTCAATCGTTTCATCTCATTAAGTGACTACTGTAAAACGTGTGTTTGTTTTTTCTTATTATTTACTCAATTTGAGTGCCTAGTAGTAATTGGAGAAGAAACCTTTCATGTGTTTGTTCATCACATTATCTTGATGGTTAGATAAACTCCGTTATGAAAGTAAGAAAGTTATCCAACTGTGCATTCAACTACGTTGAGCATACTCGACAAATGTAGTCATCATTCACTTTTTAGTGTCAAATATAGCTGTTATCACTTCAAAATATTTTTCTTGTTTCTAAAAATATTTAATATCACCATGAATTTTTACCTCTTCCACTTGAGAAATGAATCATTTATAAAACACATTTGATAGGAAAGTGGTTTTACTTTAAACATGGCTTTAGTTAACGAGCTGAAATCGTTATCGAAATTACAAACAAGTAACTACCCAAGTGACATACATCGATCACAAAAACTACAAAGTTGTAACCCAAAATAATTCCAAAGCAAAAATACTGAAATTGGAAATAGCTTGCTATGAGAGTGTGAGTGAAACTATTGCGTGGTCGCTTTTAGCAAAATTGATTTTATAATGGTGACACAATTCATGGACTAACGCATCAAAATACCTATTGTTCTTTTGCAATTAACCATTGTCACGCCACTGTCTCCTGGCCCTCTATTATACAGAACCCAATCGCTACCTACACCACCGACTTCTATACGGTGCCTACACTTAACTCGGCAATAAAGAACAGTTAAATGTTGCAGACAAAGCAACATTAGCTCAAATAGGTAAGATGTCTCTGTAAAAAAAATTAATATTTCATTGCTCTGTGATTCAAACTTACTTTTGTTCTGAGCTAATTTGATTGTGTTTAAAAGTGACAATGAGGATACGCACGCGTATTTTTTGAGGCCACCGTTATTTTTTTGCCCGGTTCATTTTCTCAAACACTGTCATCAGTTATCATTTTAATTTTATTGCTGTTTACGCTCTTAACGGACAAATTTCGGAAAATCAAATAATGAAATGGGATTGAATACTCACTAATGAATTTTCAATACTCCTATTGGTCCATTTGAAACATATTTAATTTCCATTGGTGGGATGTCTACCTATATACAAATTCGCAATTTACTTTTTTCCTGAACAATTTCTTTTTAATGCAAAGGAAATTGATGGGAGGAAAATTACCACAGTTTTTTTGCTTCCTTAAAGACCCTGCATTTAGAGATTAAAATAGGATAGGATATTTGCACACAAAACAATATTGTCTTTGAACAAGATTTACAATAATTTGAACGCAGCTTTCGAAGAAACTTGACATTAAAACAATTGCATTTTACTGTAAAAATAATACTTATAATGTGAAAATAGTTAAATCTATGTATCATGAAAACCCAAAATATGGATAACAACAGTTTTAGTTCTGATTCGACGTATTATTCAGCTTATGAAAATAGTCCTAGATTCAATAAAAAACCACAATCTTCAACGAGTGCGACAAAATATCTTAATCGCATACGTCGCGAGGTGCGACTCCACTTGGAAGGGACTAAATTATTAGGAAACCACGAGGCCATTAAATATATGAAGGGAATATCTAGGAAGAAATGGAACCCTGCAAAAAAATCAACTGTTGAAAAACTTCAGGAAACCTTGCACAAAATACACAAGTGCAATGAATATTTTCAAAGAAGTTTAGTCCGTTCTGGAAAATACGAAAAAATCATTTCAGATCCGGTTGAAGACTGCAGAATAACGCAAGAGATACAAATGCTTGAAAGGAATAATAAAGAAGTTTTCAAACCAGTAGGTGCACCTTGTGTGGATTCAAGTGAATCATATTCATTTCAATCTGATATGCTCTCCAACAAAAATTTTTTTACTGCATCTTCAGTACCTTCTGTCAAAATCCCTATCAAACAAATAAATGATGAAATATCAAATGATTCTGAAATGAATATTTGTGAAGATAGTAATAATAGGGCTTATACAGAAAAGATTAATTCCAACAGTATGGATTTGTTTCTAACACAAGAGGATAAACAAATGGAAAATTCATATGTATTTCACGATGGAAAAGCTTTTATTGTCCCTTCAGTTGTCAGTGATATCCTGCAAATTAATTTTGAGAAATCGGCAAAGGGGCATTCAAAAATGAATATTTCAAATCCGTCTCATCAGCTTCCCGACAGTAACATAATGAAGAGTTTGTGTTCTCAGGACACTGAAGTGTATTTAGAAAGTATTCCTTCTTCATTCAATGACACCATGTTCAAAATTCCGTTTACGAAACATGATCGAAAATCAAACAATGAAGCAAATGTTCAGGGAGACATGTCACTTTGTGGAAATTTAATGAATAATATCTTTCAAGATTATAGTCAACATAACAACAAAGGCTTCACTAATGACACAATTATCAACGAAAATAATAACTTTCAATTGAAAGAGCATGATCAACTTCCAGTTGAAGATCATTTCATACCTGAAGTAAGCAATGAAAACTCATTTGAAAACAATACAGATACTCTCGTAAGTAATTTGTTTCAATCAACTCAATCCATTGATTTACTTGACTCGAATTCTCAAGTGAAACAGGAGGAACAAGTTCGTAGATCTCAAAATGTCTTACTCACTGCTAACCAGACTGATAATTCAGAATCTTTAAAGGGATTATATTCAGTGAACAAAAACTGTGAGGATGTGAATGCTTCTACTGAAACTTGCTCGAATTCAGGGAAATTAGATAGAATGATTGGAAAAATAATGAATATGAAAAACAGTCACTTTAAAGAAGTAGATTTCTTCACAAATGTTATACCTGAAAGTATTTATACTCAAACACAGGTAAAAGAAGTTAGTTTTGAAACCGTCAAGGATGTGAGTAGCTCAATAATACAAATGTATAATGAAAAAATCCAAAAAATCAATTTGGACATAAGTATCGGAAGTAAAACTTGGGAAGAAGTTTGTGACGAATTGGATTATACTACTAAATCAACTAGAAATACTTTAGATATGCTGTCAGACTTGTTCGAGAAAATAAGTATAGACGAAAAGAAGGCTGCTAGAGAAAATTATATCAAGAAACTTCATGACGCAAACTTTCATGAATTTGATGATGAGGATGTGAAAGAATTAGATATGAAAACACTGTTGCTTTCCAACGAAGTTCTTCTCAAACAGTTGTCAGCACATTTCGAAAGAAAGCTCGCAGAGAAAGAAAATGTACCTCAAAATAATGCCTCTTGGTATTATGCTGAAGATTACAGCGACACAGTAGATTGGAGAAACTTGTTGAAAGCTGAAAATGTATGATGTTACTTGTTGGTTCTTGAATTGCATTTCCTTTTCGTTTGAATTATGTAAAATAAATCTTACAATTTTGTTAGTTTCAAAGTTATTGTAGTAGTCTGATAAAACTATCAAGCCCTTATTATCTTTGTAGAATGCTCGAAGGTTAAATAACTCAATAAATTTCCATTGACTTATGTAAGTGTTTTGCAAATATCCTCAGTCATCAGTCGTCGTATTTATAAGTTTTGCCTATAGAATAGAATATTTTATTGGTGTTGAAATAAACAGTAAGTTTCCACACAGGTCGATACAGCACAGATACAGAAATATAACTTAATAGATTATATAAAATACAACGAAGTAGGTAAGTAGGTTTCACAATATCAACAATTTAAAGTTTTCTCAGGGACAAATACAATAAATAGAACATTCTAAAGATAACATTTCATTTCAAATCTACAGTTAAGGAATTCATCTTAGCTATAGAAGGCTTTGATTGTTAAATAATCTTTCAATATAATCTTCAGTTTATTTGTTTCAAGATCCCTGATCGGGCAAGGTAGTTTGTTGTAGAATTCTGGAGCATAATAAAGTGAAGCATTCCTTGATTCATATAGTCTAAGATTATTCCTTGTGTAGTGATTATGTACATTGCTTTGAGTTTTATATTGACTAATATTTTCACGCATATAAAGAATGCATTTGTATATGTATCTCGATGGAATGGTCGTGATTTTGAGATCAATAAAATTTTGTCTGACATCGGCACGATACATCACGTTAGAAAGTGCACGCATTGCTCTGCTCTTTACTGGCTATATAATTTACATGACAGTCAAATTTCAGTGTGGGGTCCGTCCAGGTATACTCCCAAAAACTTTACTGATTCTGGTTTTTTATATACATATATCATTCTGATAGGTGGAGAAAATCATTGATTTAGTTTTGCTACCATTTAGATGAAGCCGTTCTGAAGTGAACCAGTCTGATGCTTTGGACATTGTAATGGCCATACTATCCTTTAAAGATCCAAAGTTTCTCTCGGAATTCGTAAAAGTAGTATGGTCAGCGTAGAGTTCTAGGGAGCTATGGGCTAAGGCATATTTCATATCGTTTATGTAAATTAGGAACAATAGTGGACCTAAAATCGAGCCTTGGGGTACACCGTGTCTGTTCATCTTCCAGGTAACTTGAGATCAGTTTCAAATTGATTCCATTGAGGCCATAAAATTCAAGTTTTTTCAGTAAGATTTCATGTGATACACAGTCAAAGGCCTTTGACAGGTCACAGAAAGTAGATCCCACAATTTTACCACTTTCAAAGCCTGCTATTATAGTTTCACATAGATCATTGACTGCTAATGCGGTTGATTTGCCAATTCTAAAGCCAAATTGTTCGTTTATCAACAGGCTGTTTCCCTCAAAGAAATCCTGTAGCTGATTTTTCTATAGGTATGTAATACTGAGGTTCATTTCATTACCTTTTTTGAAGACAGGTATGATTTTAACAAGCTTGAATTTATATTGGATATACTCCTTTTTCTGATGCTTTCATTGTACAGTTTGGTTAGAGGAATGATTGATACATCTATCAGCTCCTTGATTAGATTAATGTTCATATCATAGATATCTTTACTATGTTTTGGTTTCAATTTTTGTATTGCATCTCTAACCTCTATGCATGTGACCTCTCTGAACGAGAATGTAAGATTGTATGTGCTCCTCCACATGTTCCAAAATTTCTGTTCAGTCCGATCTTTTGATTAATTTGTTTGCTTCAAGATATTTTATCAGGCGAGTCGGATTAGGAGAGATGGGTCTGAAGTTAGATGTCATTTAGCACGCCTTTGATAACTTCCCACAATGGAATACAATTGTATGAAATCAGACAAAAACTGTGAAGAAATGAGAACAATCTTATTCAACAGAAAAACATTTATTTTAGGCCCAATAATTAAATTCAACAATAAAATGAATAAAAATAAATAATATAAACGTGCTCGATACATTATGTTCACATATACTGCTGGTACATTTAGGTCTGGAAGGTGCATAAACCACTTACAAATAAATACATATACTCTAAAAATTCTGGACCAAGCAACAGTACCCTAATGAGCAGCGTTTCTCTGATAACGAACAATAAATTGATATACCCATAATCCCAATCGCATTATCGCAAAAAAATCTAACTGAACTTATAATACAAGTTGTATTGGGTATCGGAATGTATTGAAATACGACGTGGTAACAAAGTTTCACAAACATTTCTATCATTCAACAAGAATAAAGCAAGCTGAATGTAAGTTTTATTTGTTTTAAAATTGGCAAGTTTAGGTATCTTGTAAAGTTAATACCCTGAATAATTACTGGAGGAATTTGATGAATTTCCAACGAATTAAAACTACTATCGATTCATAACTCTCTTTGATATTTTTGTGCCGAATCTATAATGACAATTATGTCAAAATGACCGTGATATGTAAACAGTTGGTCATCGATATTTCCATGATTTGTCACGAGATAGTCTTAGTTCCCAGAAAATAAATATATAGAAATCCATTCTTCATAAAGTAAATAAATCATTTGTCCAAAAATATTTGCTATTTTGACATAAGCATTGGTAATTGACTAAATTAAAAAATATCACATCAACAACATTTCGAATTTTATTCACTTAGAAACTGAATTTTCCCCTCACTTTGAAAAATCCCAGTGAGTTTCTATTGTGAATTATAGACCCAATGCCAACATAATTTTCCAATAGAATGTTATGCTGTAAGATTACACTGCTCTCTTTCCATTTGTGCACAGACAAGCAGATATTTTCAACGAACGCCTCGAGATTGAACAGATTCCGGATTTTTTCGTCGGTGCAATCTACAAATTAAAAATCGTTAGTGGGGACCATAAGAAATATGAGACGTACCTTTATGGAAGAAAAGTGGATGGTAGGTGAAGGTCAGATATGGTACATCGTCATTGAAGGGATTCCATTTAGAGGCAAAATTATCTGGTTTATCTTGCCTGAGTAGGAGTCGAATTCCTTTCATATTACGGTCTCTAAAATTATCAGAACTTTAGTTTTCATTGACAACAAATCTGTATACAGATGCAGGAAATATAAGCATACTCGTGCATTGCTGGTAAACAAGCATAGAGAAGAGAAGAAATTTGGAGCTTGCTTCGTGAAATAAAAAATTATCAAACAGTTTGTATCTCATAATAACAAAGGCCGCAAAATGACGTATGCATTGATGTTCAAGTGAAAATATTTAGTGAATTGAAGCGGGAGTTAATGTCACAAAGCTGGTGTGCTGCTCAACGAAAAGAGTCTGCGTTTAATTAATGCTTTTTGAGAACGTATGAATCACAGACATGTTACAATAGAGCAATAAAATGAACTGATTATGAGTTATTGAGAAGCGAGTTAGTGACTTGGAAACAACGATAAGCCTTTTTAGCGAGGAGTGAAGGTTTCAATTACTATTTCCTTCTAATACAATATACTAGATGGGCTGAAAAGTTCTCAGACTAACACACAGATGGCGCCACTAGTTTTAAATCCATATGATTTTCAGTCAAACCTAACCTTCGAAAGACACATGTACAAATTTCACAGCTGTCGGACTATTAGTTTATGGGATAGAACATTTTCAGTGAGGCAACTTTTGTTAGTTTTGAGAAAATAAAGAAAAATAATTTCGTGGGTTGATAAAGCATTGCTTTTTGTCAAAAAAAATTTTGAAGCCAAGGCTTGGCTTGATCAACATTATTCGGATTTTGCACCAAGAAAATCAACCGTTCATCTTCACTCCATCAAATATACAGTGCATATTTCTTATCAATTTTTAGCTATTTAATTCCTATATGGGGTACACTTGGACAGACATTATTCAAAAAAGTAAAAATACTTCAAAACTAAGTCGTGAAAATGTTATTCAGGCTTGACTACAGAACCTCAGCTGATACTTTATACAGTGTAACCAAGATACTGCCTATTCAGGATGTTCTAGAAATCGAGCAAGGTAAATTTGCATACAAGGTTATACATGAACAAGTCAAATGTAATACCAACTTCACTTTCGTTAATCAGCTCCACGAATACAATACTCGTACCCATTATAATGTCTTTTTAGAACCTGTATGTACTAATATTGGCTTAAATAATCCCATTACACTATGCATGAAAACTTATAATTCTCTTCCCAAGGAAATAACAGATAGCCCTAATTTCAGTATCTTTAAGAAAAATAATTTTTATATTAGCATATTCAACGAAGGAACGGCTTAAATCTATTCAATTCTCTGTATTAATTACTATTGAGTTTTTTATTTTATTCACATTTGTATTATGTATTCTCAAGTTAATCTTGATAATATTATTTTGTTGTACTGCATAAAGTATTATTATATTGTTTTTAGCTAGTTTTCCGAGACCAGCATGTTGGTGCTGCTTTGGATAACTTTTTTTTGGATAGTGCTGCTATCTCAATTACTATTTAAAATGTTTATTGTAACCATGATTGCATTATCTGAATAAAGTTGTTTGAAAAAAAAAGATGAGCCTTTCAGGCATTTTGACTTGATGTTACAAAAATGTATTTGATTATGCATTAGATTGGAGCAGTAGTGAAGGTCTTGAAGATTCTCAAATGTTTCCTTGTCTCAATGGAGACATCACAAAATGTATTTTTTTCAAGAATACAAAATTGAAAAACTGATCATGGAATTTTCAAATAGAACCAATGAGTTGAAGTTTGAAAACGCTGACCTTAAGATACACAGTACCGTTTACATACAGTGTTATATTGATCTTACGCGGATTATCAACATTCTCACATCTCACTCGGTATTTCTTCTGAATTAAATGATCGACTTCGATGAAACCCTAAAGGTCACGACTCAACTATATTTTGTGATCTAGAAAAACTGAAAAATACATTGCCGAGATATCTGTATTTAAAAAAAATATCATAAATGACCGGTTTATAGGACCAGTGTAAACATCAACACAGAATATTTCAAATTTTGTCCCAAGGTAGACCTTTTAGTACTTGACATTTGAAAAAAAATTATTAAAATCGGTTTACAACTTCAAATTTTAAGGGGGTGTTTCCATTAAAAATGGGTCACACTGTATATGGGGTACATGTGGACAGACATTATTAAAAAAAGTCAAAATACTTTAAAACAAAGTCGTGAAAATGTTATTCACGCTTGACTACAGAACCTCAGCTGATACCTTATACAGTATAACCAAGATACTGGCTATTCAGGATATTCTAGAAATCGAGCAAGGTAAATTTGCATACAAGGTCAAATGTAATACCAACTTCACTTTCGTTAATCAGCTCCGCGAATACAATACTCGTACCCATTATAATGTCTTTTTAGAACCTGTACGTACTAATGTTGACTTAAATAATCCTATTACACTATGCATGAAAACTTATAATTCTCTTCCCAAGGAAATAACAGATAGCCCTAATTTCAGTATCTTTGGTGTTCTATAAATGGCCTGCTGCTAAATTCTGCATTGGACTGGACTTTATCTCAAAACAGTTTTCATCAATTAATATTGAACCATTTACATATTATTTCTGTATAGTTTCTCCCTGCGGTTCTTGTATATTGACAGTTGCTTTATGAATACATTGTATTGTAATTATTATGTATTAGTTTTGAACCGAAATTATTTATTTTTATTTAGTTATATCTATGTAGTTAGGCTAATCAGCCTGTTTGGATGAATAAATACCAAATGACCTAAGCCAGAAAGTATGCCCATTTCCATAATAGATCACACTTGTTATTTAAATCTTAGATGTTTTAGTTTTGGAACGCACCTATATGGCAATCTTCCATTTATAAAATGATAAATTTTGTAAAAAAAAGGATTTCAAAAGTTTCCTAATTTTCCATTTTTATAAGAAACAGATAACTTTCCTGTCACGAAACAATCTCCAAAAATTATATCGATACATAGATGCCACAAAAATTCTTTATTCAAAATTGAGATACCTAAGTTGATCAAGATTTTCATTTTCAGCTTGATTTTCAGTATTAGACATACGTTTGAATAAACAATTTTCCCAAATACTTGACAGTCCATCAGCTAATCCATTGATTTTTCTGCATAAACAGAAAAATACAAAAAGGTTATTCTACGGGTGAGGATAAAAATCGTCACTTAGGATCACTAATGAAGCACCATTACTGTTGAAAATTCCAGACACTAAATATTTTTCACTGTTTTAGCTCTTCATAAAACAATCAATATGTTATATAAAACCATTATTTGACTTGATTGTTGAGAATGTCACTAAGTTTTTTATTCTTTTCCATGTACAAGAAAATCAAAGTAGCAAAATTGAGCGATTTTTAACAGTAATAGTACATCATAAATATATTTTCATTCAAATTTATCAAGACTAAGGCCCTGTTTCACCAACGACTTAAATCTTGAGACCATCTTAGCAGGTGTTTCAATTGTGATAATCTTATTTAGCATTTCACTTCTCTCATCAGAAATCGTGCGAAATCGTTATTATTGATTAAATATTTGACATCAAATTAAATTTGTAATTCGGTTATATTTAATTGAAAATTTTGGGTCTGCCATTCACTAAAATATAAAATACAGGGTGTTCCTTAAACACATGCTAATATTCAAGGAGGTGATTCTTAGACCCATTTTAAGAAAAAAACTTCCTATGGACGTATGTCCTAAACGCCTTAACTTTTGAGGTACAGGGTGGCAAAGTTTTCAAAAATAATCAGTTTTTTAATAATAACTGTAGACATCTTTGGCATATTTGGTACATATGTTCCATGCCTCAAGGCGCATTTTCTGATGTACACAAATTTGTATTTTTTCAAACAGTGGCATNAATCTGGGAATGCTGCTTTGGATTTGAGCGAGATCGGCCAATTTTGTGTGAATTTATCAATTTCATATCCTAAATTAATAAAACGAATTTTTTTTAGAACCTATGAAACGTTAAACATACTTACTTGCGATTACAATGCGAGCTAAAATTATTCTAAGATTACTTAATTCGAGATTAATGAGTAGTTGGTGAAACTGGACCTAGGAGTTGATATTTGGGCTACTTTTTGATATTCAATTTCATATGCAAAACTATATGATATTATTCACTAAAATAAAAAATGAATTGGTCCACTAATTTGTTTTCAAGGATGTACTAACACAATATGAGAACTACTCATAAAAATAGTGGTATCTTGTCTCAACTATCTAGTTTAGAGTTTGAATATTAAAAGTAATACTTACGGAATCAAGGAACCATTGGGATACACTAAATTGCCTACGACAATTCCGTCAATATCGCTGAACTGAATTTTTCTGCAACCAAGTCTCCTTAATGCAATAAAATCATATTTCACAAGAATTAAATTTTTGGCGGTTAATAACAATAAGCGTTCTTTATCAGTGTCCCAATTATTTATTCTGAAAATGATGGGAAAAGGCCAATTATTATATTTATCAAGAGGTCATTCCTAGAAATCACTTCAAAATTATTTTCAAAATACAAATCAATATGTAGGGATGAATAAATGTGAAAGTTTGGTGTTCCCCAAGGTTCGGTTTTGACCCCAATTTTTTGTTTGATTTATGTTGATGATATTGAAAATATAGGTTAGATGGGTGATCACTTTTCATTTACAGATGATCTAACACTGTTCAGTTAAGAAAAAAAAATGAGAATTCATTGAAAATAAATATGAATAAAGACAGGAAAAAATTGAGAAATGGTTAAATAACTTCAATGTAACAATCAACTTAGAAAATACAGTTTTCATGATTTTCAAGCAAAAAAATATGAGCAATTTGAAACATAATTGAGAACAAATTAATCAATCAAGTTGAAAAACATAAATATCTGAAGTCTATCCAAATCCAAGATAGAGTAAAACAAAACAAAACCGAAGCGTGATGTTCACGTGATCGCCCAGTGTCAGATGGAAAGGGCAGCGTTCATTGGTGAATTCGCCTTCTTGGTACGAGTTCGGTACCAGCACAGGGTTGTAATCAGTCGTTTGCGTGTTTGTGTGGCGTGCGTTATAGTATATTGTTTAAAATTGTTTTCCAAGATGTCCAGTACAGACACTGCTGATGACA